CCTTGCTTACTAACAGGATTTCACCATAGAGAAAATCTTTCACACATATTCTATCCCCCCCCCCCCCCCCCGTGTATTTTTCTCGATGTATCTAGAGATATGTAAACTGCATCCGTGTCAGCCCTGTGGTAGCGGGGAGATGCAGCACGCCCACTGCCCAAGCAGGAAGTGGGAAAGACTGGAGTGACCCCGACTTATAATGAGTGTTGTTATAGCTACAGCTGACGAAGATGTGCTGAAGATGCACACCGTGACGGGTCATGGTCATGCTTTGTTCCCTGACCATGCTGACAGGGACAGCTAGCCTGTGGTCTGTTTCTGATTTCATAGCAGCTGTAAACATCAGTGTTAGAAATTCGCACTTGTCCTGTAGTCCATCCCAAACTGCCAAATAGTTAAGGTATCATAAAGACGAGTAGAAGTTGGCCTTTTTTAGGGTTTCGCTATGTGTTATTATTATACGGATGAGTGGACTATCACCATGATCACTACAACTGTATGTTTCTATTGCTGTACATGCTGTTTTGAATTGGTAATCTTAATCTCTGCATATAAAATAATGCCTTGGAGAGCAGAAAATACAATTTAAAAGTTAAATCACCATGCCTAGTAATGTTTTATTGTGCCCCGCCGCGCGAAATATAGTATTCACGACCGTCCGAACGTCCAACCTGTTTGTTGCCGCGATATCTCAAGAACTAATCGCAGGATTGTCTTCATATTTGGAACTATGGTGTATATACAAACACTGCAGACACCGTTCGGTTTGGGTGACCTTGACCCCATTTTCAAGGTCACAGCAGGCAAATCTGCTTTTGGAGTTGGAAAACGGTGTTGCCGCGATATCTCAAGAACTAATCGCAGGATTGTCTTCATATTTGGAACAATGGTGTATATACAAACACTGCAGACACCGGTCGGTTTTGGTGACCTTTACCCCATTTTCAAGGTCACAGCAGGCAAATCTGCTTTTGGAGTTGGAAAACGGTGTTGCCGCGATATCTCAAGAACTAATCGCTGGATTGTCTTCATATTTGGAACTATGGTGTATATACAGACTCCGCAGACACCAGTCGGTTTTGGTGACCTTGACCCCATTTTCAAGGTCACAGCAGGCAAATCTGCTTTTGGAGTTGGAAAACGGTTTTGCCGCGATATCTCAAGAACTAAACACTGGATTGTCTTCATATTTGGAACTATGGTGTATATACAGACTCCGCAGACACCAGTCGGTTTTGGTGACCTTGACCCCATTTTCAAGGTCACAGCAGGCAAATCTGCTTTTGGAGTTGGAAAACGGTGTTGCCGCGATATCTCAAGAACTAATCGCAGGATTGTCTTCATATTTGGAACTATGGTGTATATACAGACTCCGCAGACACCAGTCGGTTTTGGTGACCTTGACCCCATTTTCAAGGTCACAGCAGGCAAATCTGCTTTTGGAGTTGGAAAACGGTGTTGCCGCGATATCTCAAGAACTAATCGCAGGATTGTCTTCATATTTGGTACTATGGTGTATATACAGGCGGGGGAAATTTCGTCACTTTGTGACAAATACTTGTATCAAATTTCATATTTTTATTGACCAAGTTTGTTATACCTGTTCGTTCACCAGGATTCACTGAAGGGATATGATGTGATTTTTTTTTTTTTAAGCTTCCTGAGGCAGGAGCTAACGGACTATAAAAGTCCAGTTTCCACCCTTGCCGAACTAGGCTGGAATTATAGAGTTATATTTTGACTGGACCACGAGTCTATGCAAAGTCTAATGAAAATCTCGTAACGAACTTAAACATCCCTAGATATGGATTTAACAATGCTGGATTTGGTAGACTGCAGGATTTGCAAAGCAAGTGTACCATCAACTTACCGTTGACAGATATTTTCCAAATCTTTTCATGTTTTTAATCAAGGTGTTCAGGTGATTTGATGCACTTCACAATGTAAGACATGTTTAATTACAATACAGATCTTGATTATCGATCAGATCGACTTGACTGGCCGCCTCCCATTTTGTTTGAAGCAAATGCAAGTGATATGAGAGGTGGAACCTGATTGGTCAATAGGAGGGACATAGAAGGGACATAACTTGTAAGAGCAACTGGTGGCACTACGATCGAGCCTGGAAATTCCAGCCTAGTTTGGCAAGGGTGGAAACTGGATTTTAATTGTCAGTTAGCTCTCTTACCTCAGGAAGCTGGTACCTGGCTAGTATAAGCAACGATAGCAACACAATTGTTACATTAGTGCTTCTGATTTGAGCTTGCATGAAACAAACAAATACAAACACACTGCACGCTCTACATTTGACATGAAATATATCAAACAATTTTTAAAATTTGCTAAGAATAGCTGCTGTGAATGCAGTACTACATGTTTGCTTTAGGCTGAATTTATGTTTGAAACGCATGGCTCTTTGACAAAACACAATTGAAAACCCTGCTGTGACAGGTGGAAATGATAGAATAGAGAGCTCCATGAAGGGGCTATTGCTGTGAGGAGCTTGCTACAGGGTAGGTTGTAGGGCTGCAACGAATACACTGTTAGGTGAATATGATTTGTATCATGAATATAGGGTAACGAATACGAATATTTATTCACGGATACCATTACAAGTCAGCAGTGGATGTATTATTTATGATATTCAGTGAAACAATAACAAAATAAATTATTTGACATCGTTTGTTAATTATCAATATATCATGATATATTATGCATTTATATACTGCACTTATCCAGGTACTAGTATCAGCTCAAATGTGACAGTGACTAAAATACTGTCGAATTAAATATAAAAGAGTGTCGTCTTTGAAGAAATCTATGCATATAATATGTTCTTATAGATATTTTAAGGGTCAGGGTATGTAAATTCACATGACTGTATATTCATAAATGTTCGATTCTAGTGACAACGAATTCTATTCATGAATGGATACGGTTCGATTCACCGAGTGAATCGTAACAGCCCTAGTAGGTTGTGATATAGAACATGGCGGATATGAACATTACTGTGCAGGGCATGATGTAATGTTGGATCTGCAAGACTTATTGATCCTAACTTGTCACTGATTGCAGTGGAGGTATTGATCTTCACAAACAACGACACTTGGGGAGAACAGCTTTTAGTGTCCGTTACAGTCTCATGGCTGTTGGTTAGGCCTATCCCAAAAATAGAGAATCTCACCCGAGTGTCTTTTGATATCAAATATATCAACACGAGTTGATAAAAGTGGAAAAATTCCGAGGCTTGCCGAGGATTTTTGCCACTTTTATCAACAAGTGTTGATATATATTTGATATCAAATGACACAAGGGTGAGATTTTATTTATCATCCAACATCATTCTTTCAGCTTTTTCAATTTGTTGACAGTAATTAGCAGTGTCTTCAGTGTAAAAAAGTACTGCTAACAGCTTCAGTAGCAGAGCCATTAGTGATGTCATTTGATTGTGATGTCATGGTAACCAGTGGCGTCACAATGGTCTGCAAAGTATTGTGATGTAATTTCATTGCAGCGATATCTACAGTGTAGATATCGCTTGATCTCATCCAAGCCATATCTCCTGTGGGAGCCAGTTTTGGATGATAAAATATGTTAAGCTCCTATTAAGACGGGGTAGGTAGGAAAATTATATTTTTTTCAAATATATTTTACATGGCATATCTATCACTTAAAGTCCCTTGTTGTTACATGGATGTCAACAAAAAAGTTTTTCACCAACATGTCAGATATACAATCAATCTTTTAACACGGAAAAAGGAATTTGATGAAACATGTTGCAATCATATTGTCAGCACTGACCAAAATGATGAAAAACATCAAGATAGGGTGGGGATATCATCTTATTTTTTAAATCTGAGTTGAATCAGGTCGGAGCGGGAGTAAAATGTAGGTCGGGTTGGGTAACCTGAACCGGAACCACACATATTTTGTGTGTGGCTGTTTGTATTTGTCCACCACCTTGAGTGCTAGCCCACTGAGATCCCATGCCACAGTTTAACAGTATACTGACTCCGAGCCGACCAGTCCTTGTTTTATTTCCTTAATGCTGAAGTCAAGGCAGGGAAACAAAAAGAACCAGAGTTGGGATTAAGAAGAAACTTATTTTTTAAGAACAATGTTCATACAGCCAGGTAATGAAACTCCGACCTTCCTCTCCATCCATTGTATTTTGTAATTCGAAAAAAATAAATCCAGCCTCAAATATTCAACATTGCCCACAAATCTGAAATTACAAATGTTTATCTCCTTAAGTGCTGATACAATTGATAATGCCCCTCTCTACAGCATGGAGCAGATCTGTTCACCCATAGGGCCAGCAGGTGAGCCATTCATTGCGATGGATGTCATTCCCTGGAGTATTGAGAAGCTCTTAATCGCTAAGAGGCTGGTGTGACAGCTGTGTGCTGTCCATGTAACGTGTGCATTAGAGATCAATGACGGATAGGTGTGTTAGGGCAGGGTGTCATTGATTGGAAAGTTTAGTATCGATATTTTGACTCATATTTGTATGATAATATATTGATTAATAGCAAAATTAGTTGCGTATTGAAAAAAAAACCTTTTTAGCAATTAATTAACTTAAATTTTAGTCATTCTGGATGTGTATTGATAACAAAATTCCACTTTAAACCTGCAATTAATCAGCTTTTTTTTAAAATCTGAACTAGGATGATCCCTTAAATATATAAAATTAAATTTTCTGTCTAAAAACAAGTTTAGTCAGTGATAGCACCAGAAATCCGAACAGTAGTCGGGCAGCTGCTAGTATTGCCACTATCTTCATGAACGTCAGATGTCCAGTATCGTTGACGTTAATTATGTTAATTGCCTGGTTGTAATCAATGTCACCATCCCAAATACTGCAATTGAGAGGCAATTTGATCCGTGTAGCATTGTACCAGCATGGGATGCTGCACGTACCACATGGCTATCTTTATTGATTTCTATGATTGGAAGAGTCTACTAAGGGAGATAATCAATGTCCGACTATGAATCATCACAAGTTGATATAGAGTACACTGCTGGAGCGTGGTAATGTCCTGCTGAGAGTTACATTCATACATCACCTGAATGTGTAATACACGCTCGTATATTTCATGCGAGATAAAACCTATATCACACTGACCTGGATCTAGCTGTAACTCATAGCAGTGGAGGCTTATAACTCAAGGTAATGAATTTCCATGTTCCACCCTGACCTTTCCCGGTGGAATGATGTGTGTTAATATATGAATGATTGTGAGATTAGGGTCTACATGTTTTTTAATCTGTGACGAGTTTTAGGTCACAGTGATATTCACTTGTTGATTGCATGGTCTGGACAATAGGCAGTGCAAGGAGTGTGTCCTGTCAGATTGTTTCCTGTCAGATTGTTTCATACTGCGCCGTGCATTACTGACAGTGTATATGTAATTCATCCAATGCTGATAGATTTATTTCACCTTTTTTTATGACTAGCAATACAGAAATCCAATTTCCTATTCAGGTGATTTCAGTTCCGAATAGCGATGATAAATCACCTGGGCCACTTTGATGCCTTTTCAAAAATCAATACTTTCTTGCTTTATGATCATGATGATGTTTGATATTGATTAGTTTGTTGGTGATGTAAATGGAAATTGATCATGGTTACAGCTCGTAATTTGCACTGAATGACCATAAACTGTCTACTTGCAAATTCCAGAACACAGAATAAAGCCAGTCCAAGTTGGAAGTGGTGAGTGTGGAGTATGTGAGGAAATATTGCCTCGACTCGTCCAGTTTATTCATTCAAAATGCTTGGAGGTGTCCTTGAGCTTTTTTCTTCCATTGTTTAATTACCGTATTCGACGTAATAAGCACCCGGCTCTAATAAGCGCCCACGGCGATATTTGCTAATAATAATTCCTAGTGAACAATCCCAATTAGCACTCCTTCTGAATTATCAATGTACACAAGACTTATTTATTCATGTATAATACGCACTCGTGTGTTATATGCACCCTTAATTCTGGGCAATAAAATTCTGGAAAATATATCTGTCGTGTATGATACACACATACCAGTGGTAAAACTAAGAGTTTTCATCCACTAGTCCTTATAATGATAACATATAGCAAAACCCTTAAAAAGGGCAAATTTCTACTATTATGATACCTTAACTATTAGGCAGTTTGTCAAGGACTACAGGACTAGTGCCAATTTCTAACGCTGCATACTTTTCTTTTGTATCATTTAGGGCTGTCAGCATAAACTACGAAATTTACGAGCTTTTAACTATTTTTGTTCTCACCTAAATTATATTCTAATAAGAGCCCCTTATTTCTAATTTTGAGAACGCCCCGAGCACTTATTACGTCGAATACGGTAATGTGGTTTATTATATACCTCCATGAAAGCAAAACCTATTGAAGTTAATTGTTGTAAATAACTAATCAACAATGATAATGTTAGAGATTGCTTATTTAATCATCAACACAAACCACTGTAGACAACAATCCCACCCGAGACATTATTCAGTGCAACAATACTACACACACCTTGTCCAACACCTTCAGTGTGAGCTAGGGGAGAAACGATACAGCAAGGTTGCAATACAATACATTAGTATCGTGATACGCATGTATCATGATGTATACGTCATATCACGTAGAAACTCCTTGGCTATGAATATTTCAGAGCAAGTTCCAAAGGAAAAGCTAGCTGTAGACACATGTTTATAGCAGCTCTTTTTTGTAGTGAACATAAACAGCTAATATCTGACTTACAAAAACTTTGGGGTGGGGGTCATTAAATGAGTAGTAAGTAATTTATTTTAGCAAGTGTAGCGTCTCTTATTGATACAAAAAAAATGTATCGTGTATCGTATCATCACATGAAAAGTCAAGATGCACAATACACCGAGTCCGCCAAGGCGCATGGTCTAAATTTTCTCCAGTTAATGGAAACTTTGCCTGGCCAGCAAATCAACATGATCAAATGCCTTGGAGTCGGTGCACAGGAACTCGATGATAGTGTGTATAACATAATATATTTGTACAGAGAAAAAAAATCACACCCCTCTATATACATAGAAGCAAGGAGTGACACCCGCCATCCTGGTTCTTATTCAAGATTTCATGGGTCATTATCTCATGAAATATGAATATCACTCATTTCAACCTATTGGAACTTGCTAAACAAACCTCAGGCAACACAATCGTCATTATCTGTGGTCACCTTACCTCGTATTTATTTTAAAACAACCATCAAATCTCAACCCTAGACTTCGCCGCCGAGCTAAACAAGAAAAAGGTGGCCGGAAATAACAGCGCTACACGGGCTTGAACTCACCTAACGTTTCTGATTGGCTCTTTTGTTTGTTTGTGTGTTTAACGCTATATGATAAATAATCGAGTTTGGACCTGACAATCCAGTGATTGATATTATGTCTGCTTTTATGCTGAATTTCAAACACTGCTGCATCCCATTCCTGGTGTCCTAAAGTGATGTTGCTGGAATATTGCGAAAAGCGGCATAAAACCATACTCACTCCCTCTCTGTAGCTGCAACTGCAAAAGGGCTAGAGCCATTTACTAGTCTACTAGTGAAAAATTCTATACAACATAAAGAACGTAAAGAAATAGACGAAATAACCAATGGACTAGATGTATTTAAGTGATTGTGTATGTCCGCCCCCTGCAGCTGTGGAGTTTTGTTGTCATAGTGTTTGAATCCATTAGTTACCATTTTATGGGTGATGTTGCGCACTGCTATTTTCAATCATCAACAAAGCAGGTAGTCTGGTGTGTATATCTCGAGAACACGCAAAATACTAGGAATTGATAACTATGAATAATTGAGGGGTTGGAAGATACCAAATTGTTGCTATTATTTTGATGATGACATCTCAAATGAATCCCGCTGTGCCACTGCTAATGAGTATTGTACAGACCAGACACAATGGGGAGGTTGTTACGTTAATTATTCACCCCCTGAGACCAGGGCTACACATGTGAAACAGCACCTGCACGTAGGACACGTCCCATCAGGCACCTGTCTGGTCCATATGGAGGCTGGTCATTAATGATTTACTTAGCAACGGGCTGGTGTATCACAGGAATATTGTGTATCGAGACGAATTCGACATCTACGACTCACACGTGATGTCACAGGGGATGCAGGTGTTTATGGCTCATGACAAGCTGAATTTCACTTGGGTTTTAGTTTGTTTGTTTCTTGTTTAACGCTGTACTCAGAAATATTCCAGACGTATGACGACAGATTGTAAATAATTTAGTCTAGACCAGACAATCCAGTGATTGACATCATGAGCATCAATCCATGCAATTGGGATACGATGACATGCATCAACCAAGTCAGCGGGCCTGACCACCCAATCCCGTTAGTTGCCTCTTACGACAAGCAGTCGCCTTTTACAGCAAGGATGGGTTGCTGAATGGTTTCAGATATGCCTATATAAATACACAAATTACAGAGGATGCAATTCCTAATTCTTGAACATTGAGATACAAAAGGTCAAACACACATGTATGTACATTTAGATTTATAAAAAAATAACACTTTTTCTTTGACAAAAAAGTGAGAGATTGACAAAGGGCTTCTACAATACATGTGCCCTAATGGATTAAACTTACTTTTTTCAGCTTCATTGACATCTTGATAAGACATTCTCAATGATAGCTGATAATAAAAGTTTGTTTAGCTGGAGCAGGATTTGTGTCGGTAGGGAGGATCTAAGAAATGACACTGATAATGGTGATAAAAAGATATATTACCTGTGGTGACTGGCGAGGATAGACTGGATATCTTGGGAGTAATTGTTAACGGATCAAATGCTCTCAAGAAATTGGTGTATGATTGTTAATGTTTATGAGTGAATGAGTGAGTGAGTGAGTGAGTTTATGCCACTTTTAGCAATATTCCAGCCATATCACCAGAGGGGACACCAGAAATGGGCTTCACACATTCAGCGGTAGAAACTAACAGTTTTCGTCCCCTAGTCCTTATAATGATAACATATAGCAAAACCCTTAAAAGGGGCAAATTTCTACTAATCCTTATGATACCTTTACCATTGGGCAGTTTGGCAAGGACTATAGGACTAGTGCCAATTTCTAACCCTGAGTCATTGTACCCATGTCGGAAATGAAACCCGGGTCTTCGGTGTGACGAGCCGACGCTTTAACCACTCAGCTACCCGACAGCCCCTTTAAGTTCATGATTTGACTGTGTGTTGTTAATCACTTTACGACAAGCATGGGTTGCTGAAGGCCAATTTTAACTGGATCTTTACAGGGTGGGTGTGTGTTTACTGTAACCATTGCAACACTTAAATCATAATGGGGTCCTTCGCTTGGTTGTTGAGCAATAGTATGTTATAAAACAAAAAAAAGGGTAGCTTCTATAAATAGGTTGTTTTCAAACTTTAGGAGGGTGCTTATAGTTTCTGCTATAGTCATGTGATAGTATTTTGATCTGGGGGACCCTTCATCTAGATTATTGCACATTAGGGTCACGATAAGGACCACTTGGCTTTCATATGTTGGTGTGTCTGTGTGTCTAGAGGTGTGTCTGTTAATGTTTCGTGTGATGTTTACCTTTGTGTGTCTGGACAAGGATGGTTGGATGGTTTGTTGTTTAACGCCGCAATCAGCAATGTTCCAGCTATATGACGGCGGTCTGTAAATAATCGAGTCTGGACCAAACAATCCAGTGATTGATATCATGAGCATCGATTCACGCAATTGGGATTGATGACATGTATCAACAAAGTCAGCGAGCCTGACCACCCGATCCCGTTAGTCAGGCTCGCTGACTTTGTTGATACATGTCATCTGGACAAGGAAGCTGAGGACTCAGGAATATAAATCCGTATTTATCTGCCAGGGACATTCAACTGCAGCGAAAACCACAAGAACAAGTTTTCATCATGAAATGCATATCTCCATAATCAGATGATCAGCTACACCACTACCCCCTCCCGTCAACCGCCTCCGTGGTCTAGTGGTCATGGTGGTAGAGGGTCTGCCCAGAGAGTGGAAGGTCAGCATGGTCAGGGTTCGATCCCCAGCCGTGTCATACCAAAAGATGTTAAAAGAAGGTACTTGTTGTTACCCTACCTGGCAACATATCATGGTTATAAGAGATGAATATTGGATCGGGTGGTCAGACGTGCTGACTTGGTTGATTGCGTGTCATCGTATGGCACTAGATTGTCTGGTCCAGATTCCATTATTTACTGGTGTTGGGTTAAAGCTGAGATGTTGCTGAGCATCGTGTTGAACATCAAACAAACAATTTTTTATTTTACTGGCTGGCAATGGCCTAAATTCAATACGTTCATAAGTGTCAAATCCTACTTGGAGTAAGCCATGCATTTCATGCATGAGTTCAACAAATTTTAACTGTATCATTCATTTCAGAACATTTTTATGTACCGTATTTGACGTACCGTATATGACCGCGTATAAGCCGAATTTTGAGGACCAGAAAAAAGATTCTGTAGAAAGGGGTCGGCTTATCCACGGGATACACTTTCATGATAGTATTTTTCAGATCGTGATCGGTCAAAAACATCGCCTGAATGACGGTCCGTTAGATAACAACTTCCCGAAAGTTTGGAAGTTGCCACGACTAGAGACATTATTGTTATAAATTATCAATAAAGTTATTATTATACACCAATGTTGTCATTATTAAAAAAAAAGTTATGCATGTTACTACTTCCGATAATAA